GAGCTTTGCCTCTGCCTCTTGAGTGCCGGGATTAAAGGTCTAAATCACCAAAACTCAGCTAAAAATCTTTTAAACGAGAAAGGGTGACCGGTGGTTGTCAATATGGCTCAGTGGTAGAGCATTTGCCTAGCCTTTGCAAGGTCAGAAATTGTGGTGTATCTGTAAAATAGTATCCTACTCAGAACTTTTAACCTCTGCAACGTGGGTGAATCTTAGAGTAACCATGCTGAATCAAAGAAGCCGTATGCCAAATAGGTTCTTAGTGTACAACTCCACTTACATAACATTCTAAGCCTTTGATCCCAGCACTCAGGAGCGTGGGAGACAGGAAGGCGTCAGATCCTGTCTTATGTTAAAGTCTAGGGTCCGATTGCCAAAGTCTCTCTTTGCTTTGGCCAGGTTCCAGGGCCGGGGTAGGATCTGGGACTGGATACAGAGTTCCCAGTTCGCTTTATCTCTTGGGTCGTCAAGCTGATGGCTCAGGCAACCGATGAGCAACAGATCAGGAAGGATGATTGAAAGAAAAGAAGTGGGGAAGGGAGCCCAGGATTCCTTCTCTAGGTCTAGGGACTGGCTACACTGCTATCAAGGAGGAAAACTGGTCACCGTTTCCCTGCAGCCAGGACTGTAAAAAGTGACTTCTACCCAAAACTGCAAGGGTTGTAAAAAAGGGACTCTTTGATGGGAGGTTAGTTCCTGCCGAGGGGCAGGCCTCCACAGGCTCAAGTAACTTTTTCCTGCTTGCCCTAGTTGGATAGTGAATCGCTGTCAACTTGTTTGTTAATTGCTAAGAAAAGGAAAAAGGGGGAGAAAGTAAGCAAGACCATTCGTACACACACATGCTCAAGGAAGAGGATGGATGAAGTTAAGAACTTTTAAAACTTTTTTTTTTACGGTATTTATACTCAGAAAAGGAATTACCTCATAGTCAAAGAAGGCAATTAAGTACAAACACATCTGAATTCTAAAATCCAACAGGTTACATGTTTTAAAACTAAACATTTCTTATCTATGTATCCATTACATAAGTTCATAGTGTGCTCAGAGTGACAAAGGTTGACAAGGCCTAAAGGTTAGCAGGGACTAAAAGTTACAAAAATATCTGTCTTTTCAATTAAGACTGACCTGGCTACACATTTTTCAGTTACCTTTGGGGTAATAATCTTAACTGTCTTTCATTCCAAGAAGCAAAGTAAAATTAAAATGACACTATATAATGCCATAAGGTGACAAGGTATAAGGAATTGTAACAGAACAGTTTGTATATACTTTCTTCAAGGTTTGTACTTAATTAGACATTGCTTCGTCGTCCCATTATAATTTGGGTTCATGGGAAGTTTAAACCAACTTGCCTATATTTGTGGTGTATACCAGGCTTTGTAATGAAGGCTTATCTTGAGGACACAAGTCTGTCTCAAACCTGTATCCTAGTGAGTTATCTGGAGGTCCACAAAGGTATTTATTGAAGGCATAAACTTTCTAAAGTTGTTTTAGAAGTTCTAAAACAATTTCACATTTAAAATTGTTTAAATCAAATCAGAAATTCCATAAGCAAGAACTGATTATTCTGAACAGCAGTAAATACCTGGAAAGTGATGATTCACACCAGAGTACAGAGAGACGCAGCTGTGCACAGAGAATGAGTGTCAGAGCCTGGAAGCAACAGACCTTGCAAAATATGGGATTTTAGTTACTTTTCCATTGCTGTGATAAGAAACCATGACCAAGGCAATTTATGAGAGAGTTTATTTGGGGCCTGCGGTCTCAGGAGGTTAGTTACAGCATCATGGTTGGGTACTTGGGGGGTTAAGGCAAGGAGCAGGCAGGCATGTCACTGGGGCACTAGCTGAGCATTTACATTCTGATCCACAAACATGAGCTGGAGAGAACTAACTGGGAATGATGTGGGCTTTTTGAATCCTCAAAGCTCCCCCCTCAGTGACACTGTAAGACCTGGGGTCTCACGGCTCAGGAGTTCAAGATCGCGCCCTTCCCAGAAACTCCCCCAGACCAAGACTCTTTGCAAAAGCAAGAGGTTTATTAACCATTTCGCAATGGGGTCACCCCTGCCGGTCAGCAAAGAGTGACACACGAAGACAAAGGCCTTTAGGTTTTTAAAAGAAAAGTTGTGGGATATTTGAAGTTGCAGTTTTGGCAATTTAGGATTGGATGAGGAAGCTATAAAGTTAAATAATTGGTTAGTCTTAGGTGCTTAAGCTTGGCCAGTCCTGCCAAGTATGGATGCAGCTGCAATTGAAGGTGGGGGTGATTAGCTCATCCTTTGGCTGGAGGTCAGGAGCTACTCAGAAAAAGTCTGGGTTTGTTGCTAAGAAACACTATCTCAAAGACAAGGGTCTGGTTGTCTTTTTTGCTGAGTGAAGGTCATTGCTTGCTTGCCCTTTTTTTTTTTTTTTTCTGTCCTCATAGATAGGGTCACATTTTTCCATTCTCTGGAAAGGTACTAAGAGGCTTTAGCTTAACCTGAACCTAAAATTCAAAACTATAGGCTTTAGAAGACATACAGGTTACAAAGTTAGTCTAACCCTTTCAACACACCTCCTCCAACGAGACCACACCTCCAAATCATTCCCAAACAGGTTCACCAAGTGGGACCAAACATTCAAACAACGTCTTCTCATTCCAAGCACTATAGATGCCCTGTAGCTGGAGTTGCAGGAGTATGTGAGCAGTTCAGTTAGGTGCTGGGAACTGAACTTCAGTTCTCTGCAAGAGCAGCAAGAACTCTTAACTACAGAGGCATCTCTCTAGCTCAGATATAGCATTTTAAAAACACAAGCTGAAATGGGGACAGGCCAGATGAGAGAGGACATTTCAAGGACACTGTTTAGTAGTGTATATTAGGGTTCTGTAAAGAAACAGAACACATAGGATTAAAGTATATATACATAGATATGTCTATGAAAATATAGAACATATATATGAAAAATTATGTGGGATTTGTTAGAGTGACATATAGGCTGTGATCCAACAATGGCCATCTCCAGCACTCGGGGGGGGGGGGGGCAGGAAGATCGCTGAGTTCCAGGCTAGCCTGGTCTACAAAGAGATCTTCAAAGAGAACAAACCTCTTTTCTTGCCCTGATAGATGCAGCCCCGTTAGAGAGAGAAGTGCTGATGGAAGAACGGTGTACCCTCCTTAACTCGTTGCGGAGTGGCCACATACGCGCCTCCTATTGGTTCAAAAGGTTGTTATGGCTGCCTTGCTATGACCACGTCACGACCATGTGTTTGTTTTAGGAAGTCATTTTGATTAGTTTGTCATGCTTATGTTCTGCTCTTGTAACCCTATTTTGCCCACCAACCCCCCCATTTGGAAATCCCCACTCCTGAGCTTTAAACACCTTGTCTTTCTCACATCTAAGGCTGATCTCTTGAACCCCACTTGCATAGGAATAAAAAAATAAAAAAAAAAGCTTGCTTTTCCAGGTGTGGTGGCATACTCCTTTAATCCCAGCACTCAGGAAGCTGAGGCAGGAGGATCTTTGTGAGTTCGAAGCCAGCTTGCTCTATAGCCTGCTTTTAGAGTTCCAGGACAGATAAGGCTACAGTGCAAAATTCTGTCTAGAACAAACCCCCCCCCAAAAAAAAAAAAAAAAAAAGCTTGCATTGGCCATGAATTGGTTGGTGTCTTTTTCCTCGAATCTTTGGGATTAACACGGAGCAGTAAATACTCTTAACTGTTGAGCAATCTTTCAGGCCCCACCCAGCTCTATTTTTATTTTGTATGTAGATGCGGGAGTACAGAGTCAAGAGGAGTGAGCATTGGTTGTTAACAGTCTCATTGTTTTGTTTTGTTTTTTAAAGATTTATTTGTACACCTGCAGGCCAGAATTGGGCAGCAGATTATAAATGGTTGTGGGTGACTTGGAATTGAACTCTGGGCCTCTGGAAGAGCAGCCAAGTGCTCTTAACCTCTGAGCCATTTCTCCAGTCCACCAATCTATTTTTTTTTTTTTTTTTTTGAGACGGGGGTCTCTCTTTGTACCTGGTGCTAAACAGTTAAGCTAGAATGGCTGGTTAGCCAGCTCCAGAAACCCTATTTTGCCTCCCCTTAACTGGGATTATGGGCATTATCAGGCTATTTTTAACTAGGTAATGGAGATCTGAACTCAGTCAGAGGCGTTTGTGAGGTAAGCACTTCAGCCCCTGAGCTCTCTCCACTGTCCTGGCCTCCCTTCTTATTGCTTGCTTTGGAAACAGGATATCACTGTGTAGCACTGGAGCTTTCCTTGTAGACCCAGGCTTGAACTTCAAGAGATCTGCTTGTGATGAAAGGGGTGACCTGGACTTAATACTTTAAAAGAAAACAGAAACAGTTTGGATATATTTCTTTGGGTATATTTCTTCTAATTCTAAACTATAATCTTTTCCTCATATCTTTATTTAATAAGTAAAAATCATAGTCAAGACATCTTGCTATTTTGAAGAAGCAGTAATTTTCTTTCTTTTACCTTTTTTTTTATTTTTTGACGATCCTCCTTTCTCAGCTCCCCTAGTGCTGGGATTCCAGGCATGCACTATCACGCCTGGCTTCCACCACTCGGTTTCTAAGACCAGAAACCTATTTTTCTTTTCTTTTTTTTTTTTTTTTTTTTTCTTTTGTTTTTTTCAAGACAAGGTTTCTTGTGTAGCCTTGGCTATCCTGGACTCACTTTGTAGACGAGGCTGGCTTCGAACTCACAGAGATCGCCTGCCTCTGCCTCCCTAAGGGCTAGCATTACAGGCTTGCGCAGCCGTGCCAGTCTCGGAGACCTATTTCCGAAGCTAATGAAGTGCCTAGAACTTGACACGCTTTTCAAGATGCGCCGGATGGGAAGGTGGGATTCCGAGGGCGGGGCCTAAGGTCACGAGCCCCGCCCACACCTTTGGCGCCAAGCTGTTCTCGCGGAGGGAAATTCTCGCGAGAATTGTTGTTCGCGCGCTCGCCCGCCGTCGCCGTTTAGGGGAGGTGAGACCGGGTTCTGTGAGGGCAGTGTTGGAAGGAGCGCCCGTGCTCCACGTCCAGCACGGGGCGCGGGAACTGGGGTCGCAAGAGCCAGGCTGACGTGGGGCTGAGAAGGACCGGGGGTGCGGGAGGGAGGCGCCCGAGGGTGAAGATGGCGGACCTGCACCCGAGGCAGCGGCGCACAGACCTTGGCGCCAGCGTCGGGGCAGAATGGGAGGGATGAAGCTGCCTGGAGGGGAGCTGTGGGGGCTTAGAGCTGGCAGCCAGGCTGGGGCCTGAGTTAGGATGCTGGGGAAAAGTTGTACGTTGGAAACGGGTCTGGGAAGGAATTGTGGATCGGATGTTGATTTTGTTACCCACGCTTCTCCAGGAGGAGGACCAGGAGAGGAAATAGAGACATACTCATCAGTGTCTAAAATGCTGTGAGAATTGTCAGGGAAAGTAGCGAGGTGAATACCCAATTCTTTACAAATACTAAGGGAGACCTGTTTCCTAATCTCGCGCTTTACTGGTGATTTGCTGGTTATTGTAGTTTTAAACTCCCATTAGCATGGGATTCAATGTACTTGATGTTTGGAGACTTGGGGTGCTTGTGTGCCTACCAAGGCTGAGTGGTCGTAGGTAGAGCTACAATCACTAGCCCTCGGTTCCCAAATTCTGTGCTTCATAAAACTTACTCAAAGACTTAGCGGGTTTATTATCAGGAGGCAGGACTTTGTTTTTGTGTTTTTATGGTCATAGAAACATAGAATTGGGGCTAGCTTGTAAGGTAAACAAAGTGCTTGGGAAGCAAGTCTTAACTGAGTTTGATATCCAGATCTCAGGTAAAGGTGGAGGGAACTGACTCCAGGGTTGTCCTCTGACCTCCCCATGCCAATATGTCCATGGACATTACACACACAACACCAAAAATAAATAAAAATATAATAACGAAGCTTAAAAGTTTAGGGATGTTTCAGACAAGTCCTGAGTCTAATATCTGTAGTTTTCCGAGTTGTGTGGCCAGGGATGTGTGCACATGAGGAGGCCAGGTGTGTCAGATCGCCTGAAGCTGTAGTTACAGGCGTTAGTGAGCTATCCAGCTGTGGGTGCTGGCAACCGAACTCAGGTCCTTCTGAGTTCTCAACCCCCAGCCATCTCTGCAGCCCAAGATTTTTAAAGAATGGGTTCCTCCTGTAGCCTGGCAAAATTTATGATAATGTGTATTTTAAAGCTTTGTTTTTCCCCATTGAGATTTTTTTCTTTTTTGGAGATAGTGTCTCTTAAGCCCCAGCTGTCTTGGGACTTGTTGGCCTCAATTCAGAGATCTGTCTGCCTCTGCCTCCTGAGTGCTGGAATTAACATGTGCACCATAGCACCCAGTTCCACCAGAGTCCTTAAACTGAATTCAGCGTGATGTCAGCTTTACATTTACAAAAGTTCAGTCCAGCTGTATTATGAATTTGTTGAAAGAGGCAGAGGAATGGAAATAATGGTGTGCTTGAAACAAGAAGTATTGGGAAGTGATCATAGAGGTAAGGAGAAATATTAAAGAAATATTTAGGAAATTAACTTAGCTGGACTTTTGACTATGAGTTTTTTCCTACTCCTTACACCCCTATCCCTTCTATCCTCCTCCAACACTAGGTAGGAGAGAAGGAAGGTTAGAGGGAAAGGGCCATTGATATGGTGAGACTACTTCCTGCTGATTAGGGATGTTACGTTTCTTGGGGTGAGTTGGGTCTTCATGGTCAGGATATCTCTTCAGCATACAGCAACAGCAGCAGGAGCAAACAGCAGTCAGCAAGAAGGACGGTGGTGAAGGCAGGGGGAGCAGCAGCCACCCCAGTACCTCTTGGGGCTCTTGGATTTATACCCTCTCAAGAGTCCCCATAATTCCAAATGTAAACTATTTTCAGCTGGCAAGATCACATCCCTGCTAGTTAGCTGCTGTGGTCACTCTGAAGCAGCCCCATATCCCACACCTGGGTTAGAAACAAAAACATTCACATAACATTCTGTTATTTATTTATTTTTTTTAAACACAATTCTTTCTACAGACAGGTTATATTAAATACAGGGAGAAAGTGTCAAAGATGGCTTGTAAGTTTTTAACTTGAACAGCTTGATGGGTGTCGCTGAATTGAGGACATTTAGAAATTCAGATTTGTAGTCTTGGTGGTGGTGGTACACATCCTTAATCCCATCACTAGGGAGGCAGAGGCAGGCAGATCTCTTGCGTGCAAGGCCAGCCTGCTCTGTAGAGTGAGTTCCAGGACAGACGACTACACAAACCTTATCTCAAAAAACCAAAACAAAACAAAAAAAAAAAAGCAGTTTTGTATATTAGTTAATAAATGCCCTTGAGACAGTTGAGCGCTGCAAATGGACAGGAGAGATTTGCAATCTCCCCTGGTGGTGGTGGTGCACGACTTTAATCCCAGCATTTAGGAGGCAGAGACAGTCGGACCTCTGAGTTTGAGACCAGCATAGTCTACAAAGCGAGTTCTAGGACAGCCAGGGCTACATAGAGAAACTGTCTCCCAAGAGCAAAAAAAAAAAAAAAAAAAAAAAAAAAAGTGAGTCTATAGAGACCTGCAGCCCTATGTTGTAGTCTAGGTTGGAAGAGTAACAGTTAGTAACCTGGGGCTGGAGAGATGGGTCAGTATTCAAGAGCACTGGCTGCTCTTCCAGAGGGCCTGGGTTTGATTCCCACTTGGCAGTTCATAACTATAACTCAGATTTTAGTGCTGTGATGTCTTTGGTCTTTACGGGCACTGTATGCATGTGGTACACAGACATTTATGCAGGCAAAACACCCATGTGCATAAACATTTAAAAAAATGCAGTTATTTTAGTGGTAGAGGCTGTATTACAACTCGGTTCTGATTAGTCATTTTCTAAACTTACTAACTTCTCTACTTTAAAAAAATCTTGTGTGAATTTGAAATGTGGCTTAAGTGATTGGAACAAAGCTTTCACTGTTGATGAACTAGATTGTTTGATAAGACTGTTTTGATGGGTAAAAATAATTTTATTTTTCTCTTGGAGGAAAAGATGTTAGAGCAAGAAGAAAATGGTTTCTTTGACATGCCAGATTATGAACATACAGAAGATGAAACTTTTCCTCCCTTCCCACCTCCAGCCTCTCCAGAGAGAGATCGTGCAGAAGCTGAACCTGATGAAGGTCTGTATCAAGAATTTCACAGGGGCTGGAGAGATGGCTAAGTGTTTAAGAGTACTGGCTGCTTTTCCAGAGGCCCTGAGTCCAGTTCTTAGCAACTGCAGCGAGGTTCACACCACTACAGGATCTGATGTCCTCCTGTGCACACGTATGTGCAGATGTTACACCCGTATACAGAAAAGATTAAAAAAATTTTTTTACAAACCCCTCCCTTTAATTTGTTGGTTTTGTTATTGTTTGGTTTTATGAGACAGAATTTCTTCATATAGCGCAGGCTGCCCTGGAACTCTCTGTAGATCAGGGTGGCCTCAAACTCAGAGATCCATTTGCCTCTGTCTTCCAAGTACTGGGATTAAATGTGTGTGTCACCAAGCTTGTCGTCTCACAGTGTATCCCGGACGAGGCTTGTTCTCACAGTCCTCCTGCTTTAGCCTGCTGAAATGTTTTTTGTTCAGTTACCTGTCAGATTAGCTTAGAAATGATATATTTTGCAAATAAGGCTTGAACTTTAAAAAAAAAAAAAATCTGGCTAGTGACATAATGCCTTTAATCTCAGCATTTGGGAAGTAGAGGCAGGCAGATCTCTGTGAACTCTAGGCCAGCCTTGTGTACAGAGTGAGTTAAAGGACAGCCAGGATCTGAATATATGTGGGCACACAGGTGCCACTATGTGCACATGGAGATAGAGGACAACTTGCAGGAGCCAGCTCTCCCTTCCGCCATGTGGATATGGGGAATTGAACTTAGATAGTCATGCTTTGTGGCTAGTTCCTTTATCCACTGAGCTGTTTTAATAGCCCAGGTCTTAAATTTTTAAATACTAAATTGTGGTCTGTTTCACTAGAATCAGGGAGTGGAGCACCTGTTCCTGTGCCGCCAAAGAGAACAGTTAAAAGGAATCTACCCAAGTTAGATGCCACTAGGTATGCACATTTACTGTCTTTTTTGTTTTTTAAGATTTCTTTATTTTATGAGTGCTCTATCTGCATATGCACCTGCATGCCAGAAGAGGACACCAGATCTCATTATAGATGGTTGTGAGTCACCATGTTGCTGGGAATTGAACTCAGGACCTCTGGTAAGAGCAGCCTGAGCCCTGCACATTTGCTTTTATACACTTACAGATTTTCACACAGTTAGTGTTTTTCTTCTACTGTTACAAGCTTTGGTTGGATGATTCAGTGGTCACATAGAGTTCCGTAAATATGTTTCTTTCCCCTGTAAACATTTGCTTTTCCAATTCAGAAAGAAATGTTTTCTTCTCATGGTCTTCATTATGACATGGCTAGAAAACCTAATTTGAAATATATTTCTCCTACAGATTAACTTCTGAGAGAGGGCTTCCAGCCTTAAGGCATGTATTTGATAAGGTAAAATTCAAGGGGAAAGGCCATGAGGTAAGAAATGTCTGATTGATCTTTATTTCTTAGTAATGAGCATTGGATCCAGGGCAAGTGCTAGAACATATACTAAACATTACTACTGGAGTGCATCCTAGTCCTGGTTTTAATTTAGTCTTCTATTTATTTATTTATTTATTTATTTATCTATCTATCTATCTATCTATCTATTTATTTATTTATTTATTTATTTATTATAAAAAATTGTTTGAGACAGTCCCACTATATAGCCCTGGCTAGCTGTGTTTTAACAAGAATGTTACCCTCATGTATTTAAGCACCTACTCACCAGGGAGTGGCACTATTTGAAAGGATTGGAGAGATTGAGGAGGTGTGCCCTGCTGGAGGAAGTATGTCACTGTGGTTGTGGTTGGGCTTTGAGGTTTCAAAAGCTAATACCAGACCTAGTCCTGCTCTCTGTCTGCCCGTGGGTCAGAGTTGTAGCTGCTGCTCAGTGCCTGCCTGCATGTCACTATGCTCCCAACCATATGATAATAAGCCTTTGAAACTGTAAGCAAGACACCACTTAAATGCTTTCTTTCGTAGGAGTTGCATTGGTCATGGTGTCCCTTCACAGCCATAGAGCAGAACCCACAGAGATCTGCCTCCCAAGTGGTGGGATTAAAGGCTTGTGTCATCACATCTGTCTTATTTTAGAGCTTTTTTTTTTTTTTTCAAATAACACTGAAACTGGCTCTATTACGTTTGTAGGAATCACTGAATATATCAGAGATACTATTGTTAATCATCACCTCTAGAGAAATAGCTGCAGTGACATAGAAAGGGTAGGTGGAAGAATTAAAAGAACATCTTGTGTAGTCTCATTTTTTTGCCACCATGTTTAACATGGCTTTGAAAAAATTACATCAGAGTCTCTAATCCCATGGAGTTAGAGTTAGAGGCAATTGTAAGATGTCTGATGTGGGTGCAGAAACTGAACTCAGTCCTCTGGAAGAGCAGTATGTGTTTTTTTTGTTTGTTTGAGACGGGGTTTCTTTGTGTAGGCTGGCTGTCCTGGAACTTGCTTTGTTGACCAGGCTGACCCTGAGCTCAGAGATCTGCCTGCCTCTTCCTCCTCAGTGCTGCGATTAAAGACGGGTGCCACTGTCCCCTTCTAGTCAAGTTTACCTTAGAGCACTAGCCAATGTGTGAGTGTTGACACTGTGGGGTACTTTGCTTGTTTTAACTCTCACAATAACCCTGTGGATGTGTATTATTTAAATTTTTCAAGAAGTAGGCACAGAAAACTAGGAAATTTGTATTTAAATCTGTGTTTTCTATTCCAGGGTCTGTGCTTTTAATCATTCTTATAGATTATGGTATTGTTAGTGAAAAATGTGGTATTTTACAATAAGGCCAGGAATTTATAACATGTTAAGTTTATGGGACTTGATTTTTTAGTAATCTTAATTTGAGTTTTAAATGCAGAGGGATGTTATGGTTTGAGAGTATTTAACTGTTAGCACCAGTCTCTTTTTTTTCCCAGGGGGTTATAGAGTATATTTCTGAATTCTCAAAGCTTTGTTCTCTTTGATTCAGGAAACTCAGAGTATTTAGTAATTCCTGTAATGTACCTTGACATGGTTTTACTGTACACTTCTGAAAAGACACACATATAATTATTTTAAAACATTTTTCTATTTGTGTATTGCTGTTTCCTCGTAGTGTTTGTATGTGCTTATGTATGTGTGGATGTGGTTGCCAGAGGTCAACCTCAGGTGTGTTTCCTCCAGCTCTATCCAGTGAGCCTCAGAATTAACCTGTTTTTGTTTCTTTGGCACTAAGATTATAAGATCTGCCACTGTCTGATTATTTCTGTTGTTGTGATGAAACACCATGACAAAAAGCAAGTTAGGGAGCAAAGCATTTATTTGGCTTACACTTCCACATCACTGTTACATTGAAGGTAGTCAGGACAGGTACTCTAAACAAGGCAGGAATTGGAGGCAGGAGCTGAAGCTCAAAGGCTAAGGCTGCTCACTGGCTTGCTCTCTCTGGCTTGCTCAGCCTGCTTTCTTACAGAACTCAGGACCACCTGCCGGGGTGGCCCCACCCACAATAGGCTGGGCCCTCCCACATCAATCACTAATTGAGAAAATACCCTATAGGGCTTCCTATAGCCCAGCCTCACTGAGGCATTTTCTCAATTGAGGCTCCCTCAAGTTTACATAAAACTAGCCAGAACAAGCCACTATGTTTTTATTTTTATTTTTATTTTGTTTTTAATGTGGGGCTAGAGATGGCTTATTCCCCAGCCACTTAACCAACCAAATTGTCTTTCCAGTCTTGTAGAGCTATTTTTCCCTTGAATTTCTAAAAATCTGTGTCTAAAACAAAATCTATATCCACTGCTTTTTTACCCAGTGCTTTTTGAGATTGTGATTCTTTAAGCCTTTAGATTTTTCTGTTTCTAAAAGTTTTTTAGCCTTATAAATATGATAGCAGTGACTTTGGCATTGCCTTTAAATGCTAAAATCTGCTGACAGGGTCAGTTGTGAGATTGAGTCTTCTGTTCAGCATTTTTATTTTTATGTGCCAGGCTGAAGACTTGAAAACGCTAATCAGACACATGGAGCACTGGGCACATAGGCTATTCCCCAAACTGCAGTTTGAAGATTTTATTGACAGAGTTGAAAACCTAGGAAATAAAAAGGAGGTTCAGGTAAGTGTGATTATCGTGAATGTCCTCCACAATGCTAAGTAGTACAAGGATGGGCTTAGTTAAGGCTGAATTGCTATTTAGGAGTCTTCCTTTTGAAATCTGTCTTGTTAGACAGGAAAATTAATAGTCATTATTAGAAGAACAGCTCTTTCAGATATGAATAAGTGATTGTTCCCTCCCTAACTTATTGATAAAAATGGAAAAAAATGGCCTTTTTTTTTCAGACCTGTTTAAAACGAATTCGACTTGATCTCCCTATTGTACATGAAGATTTTGTTAACAATAATGGTAATTACAAGTTTATTTACTTTATTATAACTTAGTTTTTAGAAATGGGTTTAGCTGTAGTAGGCAATATATACAACCTAGGCTCATATTTATATAATTATAGTAATCGCTGTACTTTGAGTTAAATCTAGAATGCAGTTAAGTGTGCGTGTAATAAACTCCTATTTATTATGTGGGTATAGACCACAGAGGAGAACCGTCTACCTTGTCAATCCCGGGGATCGCACTTAGGTCACCAGGCCTGGCAGCAAGTGCCTTTACCTACTGAGAAATCTCCTCAGCCCAGGAGTATTTATATTTGATACTTGTTTATTATTATTAAAATATTTAGTTAGCATGCGAAAGAATGAGTTTCAGCTAGGTGTGGTGGCACATGCTTTTAATTATAGCACTTAGGAGTTGAAGGCCAACCTGATCTACATAGTGAGTTTCAGGACAGCCAAGGCTACATAGAAAGAGACCTTGTCTTACCTCCTCTCCCCAAAAAGTTGTCTTTATTATGAGATTTTGATATGTATGTCATTGTACTTTCCACAAGTCCATGTTGGCTTCCTTGACTCCTTCACTTTTGAAATTTCCTAATCCAATTTGGCCTGGCATGGTAGTAACACTTACCTTTAATCCCAGCACTCAGGAAGCAGAAGCAAGCAGAGCTCTCTGAGTTTGAGGCCAGCTTGGTCTGCATAAGGAGCTCTAAGGACAGCCAGGACCACATACTGAGACCCTGTCTCATACATACAAGCAATCAAAAAAGATATGATTGTAATGTCATTAGATGTGTTATAGAAAGTATTTATGGGGCTGGATTAACCTAGAGCACAATGCTGGGCAATAGTTACTCCATCCTAAAGCTCCAAGCCCACGTAGTTTCCTACCATTCAGATTTTACCCATTATACTTGCTTTTAGTCATATCTTAGGTCCCATCCATCTCTCCACCTCGTTCCAAGACCTCTTCCAGCTTCTGCTCTCCCAACCTCTGCACCTCTTCCTCTCCTCCTCTGCCTCCCATTCCTTCCTGTCCTCTGGCTCCTCCCCTCTACATCCTACTCCTTCCTCTCCATTGCTCAACATTGTGGCTGGTTGCTTTATTTTGGCATGTTTACACAAAGTTGAGACAGGTGATGCTTAGAATAGGTATCACAATGCAATGTTTGGATTGAAACCAGAGAGTGGGGCAGAGAAATCAGCATTTGAATGAACAAGGCTAAGGTATATACATTCTAAAAGAACATTATACCAACGGGTGCCCTCTTGTGGCCTGCAGGTACACATGCAGACAAAACATTGTATATTTAATAAATAAATAAATCTTTAAAAAAAGAAAGTATTTATGTACAAAATAGGGAATTTTTAAACATTTATGTTATTTTTGTGTTCATGTGCCATGGCGTGTGTGTGGAGATCAAGAAAACTTCTGGAGTTGGTTTTTCTATCATATAGGTTCCAGGGATTAAAGAAAGGTTGTGAAGCTTGTTTGAGAAGCTGCTGACTTTATTGATCTTTTACAGTTCTTGTTAGTACATACACATATCAAACTAGAGTGTTCATGTCCATAGAAGTCATTAGAAAAACTGGCTCTGGAGAATTAGGTAGGATAATTTGTTAATGAACATTTCCATTACACTCAATATATAGACCCTTGAGCTATGTGTGATAACACATGCCTGTAAATCCCAACATGTGTGAGGTGGAAAGTAGGAGACTCGAAAGTTCAAGGCCATCCTTGACTACATAGTGGATTTGATGCTAACTTTGTTTATACAAGACTATGTTTCAAAAGAAAATCCAAAAAAGCAGATCCATGCCTATAGGACTTTAGGAAGCTGTATGTGACTGTTCCTGGTATTGATTGCATTGTTAGTTATACAGTGCAACCATAGACAGTCACACACATTAAAACTGATGGTTCCTGCCGACAGAGTCTGTAGAGTTGTCAGATCTTCTGTGCGATGGTTCCATACATAAATATTTTTAAAACCTTCTTAAATGTTTATTTTTAATTATGGGTGCATCTGTTATGTGGATATGTGCATGTGTGAGTGTAGTTACCTATACACTGGAGCTGGGTTTACAGGAGTTTGTGAACTGCCTCACTTGGGTGCTGGAAACAAACTGGTCCTCTGCAAGAGCAGCAAGTACTCTTAACCACTGAGCTGTCTCTCCAGTCCCTTATACTTATTTTTTTTTAACTAGTAATATATATGGTGGGTAATAATAGGCTCCATTCAGCATCCTCTCATGGTTTAAATCTCAACCTTCCGAATGCTGTGACCCTTTAATACAGTTCCTTATGTTGATGTGGTGACTCCAACCTTAACATTATTTTTGCTCCTACTTCAAAACTGTAATTTTGTTCCTGTTATGTAAATATCTACTTTCTGGTGGTATTAGGCAACCCTGTGAAAGAGTTGTTTGCTACTCTGCAAGGGGTTATGACCCATAGGTTAAGAACCACTTGTTTAAATAGTCTGGGATTTGAAAGTTTTTGGATCTCCGAGAGCAAGGCCTTCCTGATCTACAGATTGAGGTTCAGGATAGCTAGGGCTACACAGAGAAATCCTGTCATGAAAAACCAAAAGGAAAGAAAAGGAGGAGGGGAGCTTAGGTAGCTCAGGCTAGCTTTAAACTTGCTGGGTTTAAACCTAGAGCCTAGAACTTTTAATCCCCCTGCTTCCACCTCTGGTGTGCTGGAATTACAGGTCTATGCTACCACATTTGACTTCCTATGTGTTTTTCTTTTTGAGACAGGGTCTTTCTCAGGTTCACCTTGATCTCACTACTGATGATGATCCCTGGCCTCTACCTCCCATGTACTGGAATTGCAGGAGTTTGCCACCACACCCAGTTTATGAAGTACTAGGGCTCAAACCCAGGGCTTTGTGCATGCTTACCAACTGAGCTATTGCTCCAGACCCCTTTTAACTTGTTTAACATGTTCACTTGATGTAACAAACAGCTTACCATAAGAGTGATTTGTGACTATTTCTTTTACCTGAATCATCCAGTACTGGCTATATTCTCTTACCTCACAAATTGTTTCTTTAGGTCAGGCCACTTGCCTCTTTAAAACTTCTTCAGTTGAATGTTGTGTAAGTTCTTTCTCTAGCATATCTTTTACTATAGTTGTATTAACTTTTTTATTTTCTGCACAGATGAAGTTGAGGAAACTAACAACCTCGATGCAACTATTGCTGGATTTGATCCCTTTGTGACAAGTTCATCTGACAGCAAGAATTTGGCTTCTGAATCAAGTAGAAGCCTAACAGAAGAGCAGCAACAGAGAATTGAGAGAAATAAACAGCTGGCCTTGGAAAGAAGGCAGGCAAAGCTACTGAGTAATAGCCAGTCCCTAGAAAATGGTAAATTTTATGCTTTTTTTTTTTTTTATGAGCTACCATATAATATCAAGGGCATGTTAGAAATTTTAACTTCTTTACTGTCTCTTGAAATAACATACCTCTAGGAATAGAGAAATGATGTTAAGTTTATGTGTATTTTAGAGAGTATGTCAGTGTATCTATGTTTGTTATTTGGAATCCTTAAAGAATGTTTTAAGTTTAAGATGGTTTTCTGAATAACTCTAATAGTGCCAAATTTTTCAACAATATATTCTTCTTTGACTTCAAACACTCTATACTCATTTTTAGGATTATACTTAGGAAAATTCTTATAGTGGAGTCAATACGTTTTAGTCCTGGGGATTGAACCCACCACTTTGCACATACTAGGCAGGCAGGATAATACTGAGCTACATCCTCCCCCCCCCCCCCTTTTTTTCTTTTTTATGAGACAGGATCTTAATAGGTTTCCCAGGCTAGCCTTAAGCTAATTCTGTAACGTAGACAGGTCTTGAACTTGCTTTTATCTTTCCTCAGCCTCCTGAGAGCTCAGATTATAGCCTTGCCCCACAGCCGCAGTTCATGAAAGTAGTAAATATAATGTCTTCTGTGTTCACTGAAGATTAGCAATCATTTCCTATGTTGTAAATAGGGTACTAAATGCTTTTTTAGGGACTGGCAGAAACTGGAGATTGAAATGGGCTTGCACAAGCTAGGTGAGCACTCTTACACTGAACTGTACCCTTATCCTTTCATTAAATTTGTAGTTTGAGTTCAGGTCTTCCTGCATTACACAAGTTAACTTCCCACTTACCCACTTAACAGTCTTCTGCCTCCTTGGAGATGGGATTACAGGTGTGTACCATGCACTTGGCTACTAAAAAGCTTTGTATTACATTTTTTTTTTGAGTTGTACTTTTTACAGTTTACTTACCTGTAGCATCTCTTTTTCACTTTAAGAATTGCCTTAAACTTCATAGTTTTTTGTTTGTTTTAAACCAAGCCAGCTAGTTGTTTTTTTTTTTTTAAGATTTATTTATTATTTATACAACATTCTGCCTGCACACCAGATCTTCCTATATAGATGGTTCTGAGCCACCATGTGGTTGCTAGGAATTGAACTCAGGACCTTCGGAAGAACAGCGAGTGTTCTTAACCTCTGAGCCATCTTTCCAGTCCGCCTTTTTGTTTTTTTAAGACAGGGTGTCTCTCTGTAGCCTTGGCTGTCCTGGAACTCATTATGTAGACCAGGCTGGCCTCAAACTAAAAGATTTGTCAGCCTCTGCCTTCCAAGTGCTGGGATTAAAGATGTGCACCACCACCAGCTAGCCAACTTCCTGTTTTTATTTCATTATTTTTGATATTTGGAGTTGGACCCAAGTCTTTATTCATATTAATGCTTATGTTCTACTCTGGACATCAGTAAAAATCTGTTTTTTGTTTTTTTTTTTTTGTTTGTTTTTTGTTTTTTTTTTTTTTTTCTAAACAAACTGGTTTCAGAACCAGTGTGTTTATTAAACATATATATTATTATTTTAAATATATCTGTATGTGAGTTCAGGTGAGTCTAAAGGCATTGAGGTTTAGGGTACGGTAAGCTGCTTGATGTGGGTGCTGGAACTGAACTCAGGTCTCCTGCAAGAGCAGTATACCCTCTTAACTCCTGAGCCATCTCTCCAGCCCCAAAACTGTCCTTAAATTTTTTTTATGTATACATTTTGCTTGAATAAAAGCACTTGCTACTCCTGCAAAGGACTTGAGTTTGGTTCTCAGTACCTACATTGTGTGTTTACAACTGCAGTTCTAGGAGATCCAGTGCCCTTTTCTGGCCTCCTTTGTCCTGCACACTTGTGCTACAGACACATGTGCATATAAATAAAAACAAACAAGGAACTGGAGAGATGGCTCAGAGGTTAAGAGCACTGGCTGTTCTTCCAAAGGTCCTGAGTTCAATTCCCAGCAACCATATGGTGGCTCACAACCATCTATAGTGAGGTCTGGCGCCTTCTTCTGGCATGCAGGCAGGATATTGTATAAATAATAATAAATAAATCTTAAAAAAAAAAAAACCCAAAAAAGATGATAGTAAGTAAATAACCATGTTGCAGAATGTCTCACCCAGTTGGGAGGTGTGACACTTGCCTTTAACCCCTGCTCTGGAGGCAGAGGCAGGTGAACCTCTCTGAGTTTGACGTCAAGTTGTTCAAAAAGGAATTCCAGGACAACCAGGACTTCACACAGAGAAACCCTATCTCAGAAGAAAGAAAGGAAATAAATACATAAATGCCTAAAAAGGAAGAACTATAGTAAGTAAATACCATGTTATAAAATGTCTCATCCAAGCCGGGTACAGTGGCTCACATCTTTGATACCAGCACTCTGGGAGGCAGAGGCAGGCGGATCTCTGTTGAGTTCAAGGCCAGCACTTAAGAGGTAGGCGGGCAGATCCTTGTGAGTTTGAGGCCAGCCTGTTCTACAAAGGAAGATCCAGGACCAATCGAGGCTATACAGAGAAACCCTGTCTCAAAAAAAAAAAAAAAAAGAAAAAGAAAAAAAAGAAAAGCTAGCTGTGGTGGTAGTGCACACCTTTAATCCCAGGTCTTGGAGGTGGAGGATCTCTCGAGTTTGAGGCCAGCCTGGCCTACTTAGTAAGTTCCCCGGACAGCCAAGGCTGCATAGAGAAACACTCTGTTGAAAAACTAAAAAAAAAAAAAAAAAAAAAAAGTCATCAAATACAACAATTCTCAAGCCATTGTTGTGACCTAGTCTTAATTTTCAGTTAAGGTAACACTTAGTTTTTATCTTCACAAAAAAAGTTTATAATATGAAAAGTCGTGATGGGATTGAGAGATGGCTCATTGGTTAGGAGCACTTGCTACAGTTCCAGAGTACCAGAATTGGCTTCCCTGCACCCATGTCAGGTGGCTCATGATTGTAACTATAGTTCCAGGACATTTAATGACTGACCTCAAGAGGCTCCTACACATAACCAGCACATAAGTAAAAATGATATTAAAAATCTTCATATGATGTAATGAAAAATACCAGTGGCCTCTTGCCATTTCAAAGTTTACCAGACAATAGGGATTTACGGCTTGTTTTCTTTCTATAAATTTGCCCAAATACAAATTATTATCTTAAAGTTTCTTTTTTTTCAGACAGGGTTCTAAATGCTGGCATTAACAGACATATGCCATTATCCCGGGCTTAAATTTTCTGAATTATCAATCACTTTGACATAAAGCTTAACTATTTTTCTTGACACTCTGTGTGTTTGCATGCGTACACGCATGTGCTCATATATGCTTTCGTATACAAGTCAGGATAACTTGGGAGTCGGTTCTTTCCTCCCACTATTAGGTCAATCAGGCTTGACCTTTGCCCACAGAGTCATCTTGCCTCTCCTGCCTCTGATTTTTTGAATCTCGTTTCATTTTGAATGAGAAGGTACATTTGAGTAAGATTGAAGATTGAGTAAGAGCGTAGAGTTTGAACTTGAGGACACTGAGAGTGTCAGGATTGATTGCAGGATCTCATGTTTGCTAAGCTGCTGATTTTATGACTGAGTTACACCCACTTCCCCAGGACCCTTGGCATGTGAAGTGTGCGTTATGCATGTGTGAGAAACTGGCTTATATTTAGACTTAGTAACATAATTAGGTGATTATAGATTTGATTTCTACCAACTAAGTTTAGAGAGATTTGTATTTGCTAAGATTGGGTCAGTTGCTTATAATGAGTAATAATGATATTTCTTTTTCAGACGTGTTAATGAGTACATCCTGGGCACAGACAGTTGAGAGCAGTATTGGTGAGGATCAAGAGGAGTCAAATGGATTAAACACAGACACTGCAAATGGTCCACCTGATGTTCCTTCTGCCAGTACAAATGAAGAGGAACAGTTCAAAGCAGAGGAAACACAGCTGGACCATAGTAACTCCGACTAATCCAGAAATGTTACAAGTAGCCAGCCCTCCACAACAGACTCCTGCAAATTTGGAGTCATTTGTAATTTTTTTTCTACTTTGTGTCACAAGACTTCTGTGGATTCCTCCTTAAAATACAGTGACTTTATAATTGTGTTTCCTATTTTAGTAAGTCTATTCTTTTTGGTGTTGTGTATAAATCTGCCTTTTTAAGTTATTTTTAGTTTGCACTGAATTCTTTCTCATTAAATTGAATGATGTTTTAAAATGTAAATCTGTACTATTAGGTCAGTTTTTATAAAGAAATAAATGTATTTTGCAAACTGTCAGGAGTTGAGTTTCTCACCATGGTTTAGTTAGTTTAACTTTTTGCTGATTAAGGGTTTGACAGTTTTGTTGAGACCTCATTCCATTTTCCTGGTGAACTTCCTGCTTTTGTCTTTAAGTGGTAGGACCACAAGTGTATACATCATCTGGTCTTTTCTCCCAGTTTTTGAAACAGGGTCTGTCTCACTGTTACCTCAGTTGGTCTCAAAACTTAAAGGGATCTGCCTGTCTATCTGCCTAGTGTGGTGAGATTAAAGGTGTGTCCCACAACACCTGGCTTGCGTATTTTGATGAGTCACTTTAATGTTTAAAATATCACATAAAAGGTTGATGCTGCCTCCCCATTAATGATGGCAGGCAAGTTCAGAGAATGTTTTCAGGTTGTGAATGTGCTAGAGGGCTTTTGGAGGTGTGTAAGACCCTCCAGAAAACGGTGCTACTTCATGTTACCGATTTGTCGGAAGAGCCTTGGAGAGTATTGTGAGAGACAGTGGTTAACAAGGGTCATAGGAAACAGTTGGTAGAAGGGATTCTGAGGATTGGGTAGCATGTGTGCAAGAAATACTTAGGAAATAAAGATTTGGGATTGAGGACTAGGAGGCCAGGAGTGATGGGGCTAGATAAAGAGAGAACTTGACTGGAGCTTTTGCATGCTTTATGAGCTTGGAGGGACTAACTAGAGTTGAAGTGTATGGTCTTTTTCTTGGCAGCAAGTTCCCACATGAGTGGAGAAAAAACTAAACTCTGGAGATAGCTTTTAGTAACAAAGATGGCCGTTTTAAAGAAAGGGGGAGTGGTCTTTGAGCTTTGCCTTAGGGAACGGTGAGGGTGCTGCAGTGGCTTCCATTCCTAAGCCAGGACAAGTGACGCCCACCCAGCACCCCAGGAGGTAGGCTCAGTGAGCTCTGAGTTCAAGGTTAGCCTGTTCTGTTCCACAAAGTGAGTTCAGGGACAGCCAGGGCTATAAGTGAAACCCTGTCTTGAAAAAAAAAAAAAAACAAGACACCTCCTCCCCCCCAATCTAACCAAACTCAAACAAAACTTCATTTGAAAGAATTGGTTTGAGCCAAGTGTGGTAACACATTACCTTAAATCCCAGCAGTCAGGAGGCAGGGGTAGGAAGGAGGAGCTCAATGAATAACTTGGTCTATATAGTGTGTTCTAGGCTAGCCAAGGCCACATAGTGAGACTATCTTGGAAAAACAAAGCAACCAAATAGGCCAGTTTGTATAGTTCTACTTCATGTTTGTTTGGTTTTCCAAGACGGGGTTTCTCTGTGTAACCTTGGCTGTCCTGGACTTGCTTTGTAGACCAGGCTGGCCTCAAGCCCACAGAGATCTACCTGCCTCTGCCTTCAGAGCACTGGGATCACATGTATGTGCCAGCGTGCCTGACTGCTGTACTTCAATGAGGTATGAGAGCAGAGCGTGCCTAGGGGAGGTACCCACTTCATCGCCATCTTGAGCATCACGTGACACAAAAGACTGAGAAGCACAACACCTAAAACAACGCTCTTTAATGAAGCACAAGTATTTCACATTGCACAGCTGTCTGAAACATCCAGAAGAGCGAGGTCCCTTATCTCCTCCAGAAGCATGTAAAGACTTCTTCCCTTTGTCTGGCAGTATTCCTGATACTCCTCCTGAAGAACCTTGTCTTTCACCTCCTGGGCAAGCTGAGCTTCCTCCACAGATCGGGTCACTTCTTTCACTAACTCACTCTTCAGCAAGAGGGAGCTCTGATGACAGAGTTCTGTGTTTGGTGTCATATATGGTTTGTTGCTTATTATTTCAAGCCTGATTGTATCAGAATGGCAGCGCAAGGCTTGAACAGAAATTCGTACCTAGTACGGAGAAATGCGTGTTACTACCTCTTGTTCTTCTCCCTTCCCGCTGGAAACAACACAATGCACACTTACCGTCACATGGTCAAAAAGATGAAATGTAACAGACTGCCCCCCCGCTGTGGTAGAGGTGACCTTGTTTTGCGATCGGTGCAGGGATCCTGCTTTCCATTCGGAGCTGTTCTCTGGGCCACACGAGATCACTAAGCCATCTTTATTCTTTAGATAAGCAGCACCTTTAATCCCAAACCTGAATATTGACAGGGAAAAACAGTTGATGTATTCTTAGCACGCAGGTCTTAGTATGCTTAGTCACTTTTCCTGTGGTTTACCTCCAAAAACATTTTTACAAGAGCAGATGAAAAACAGTATTTTTCCAGCTAAGAAAAAATCCCAAGGCTGACAGGTGTGCGTCTACATGTGTTCCCAATTGCTCCCTGTATTTCCTGACCGTGTATTACACCATGTACACACAGTAGCTTCATGACTACTATATGTCTATAGTATGTATCTGTCTATATATATCTAGGTAGTGTGTATCTATACATACACACATCTACATATGTGAATATATAGTTTGTAGCCCTGGCTGGCCTAGAGCTTGCTTTGAAGACTAGGCTGGCCTTGTTTCTGCTTCTGGAGTGCTGTGCCACCATGCCAAGTTTATATTCGTTTTTTGAGATAAGGTCTCATATAGCATAATGTGGCATCAAAATCCAGAACCATTTTGCTTTACAGGCATGTGTCACCACACCTGGTTTCATGTGATGCTAGACTCCAGATGTGTTCAGCAAGCACTCCACCTTTGATCTATACAACCCAGGTTTAAATAAATACTTTAGTAAGTTATATAGAATTGTATTCAACACTGGGAAAAGTTTACCTATGATTTCTTCCTAACTACCACATGAGAAGTAACATACCTTGGTATAAACACAAGTACACCATTTGTTCTAATTGAATAAATAACTCCATCAGCGACGCAGCGCTCCTCGGTGTCTGGGTCTCTGTCTTTAAAGTACATGCACTGGAAGAGCTCTGTGGACTGCTTCTGAGCACGCTGTGCCGCCTGTAAAAAGTGCAGAGTTCTCTGACGTCCAGGAAGAAACCCCAAACACTCCCACAGAGACAGCTTTTATATACCTGCAATGCCAGCACTTGGGAGGCTGAGACAGGAGGATCACCGTAAGTTTAAGGCCATCCAGAGTAAGCCCTTGTCTCAACTAAACCAAAGAAAAAGAGACAGAGCAACTCCTCAAAACAAAACAAAAGCAGCAGATGAGACGTGAAGGAAGGGCTCAGTGGCAAATGCAAACCTCCTCACCCATGTGAAGCCCCAGACCCTGGTAAAGGTTGGCCGTGGGGTGCACATCTGTAATCGCAGCACTCCTACCACAAGATGGAGGGACAGGCAGAGCTGGAGAACTGGCCAGAAGCTCCCAGCCACACTGGCTGGCCAGCCCAGTGTGCACGGCGCAGCAGCACAAGCAAGGCTGTCTCAGGAACAAGGTGGAAGGCAAGAGCAAACTCAGAAGTCGCCCTGCACACCCACAGGTGCCGTTACACATGAGTTCGTGCTCTGTCTCTCTCTCTCACACACACACATTTTAAGACTGAAGAGATGCTTCAGTGGTTAAAGGCATTTATTGCCAAACCTGAGTGCCATCCTTGGGATGAAGATGGTAGAAGGAGATTACCAACTCCCCTACAAATTGTCCTTTGACTTTTACTTGAATATACATATATATATATATATATATATATATATATATATATTTATATATATATATATTCTTAAATTTAATTTAAGAAAATTTAAAGAAAAATTATTACCTATGATCTTATTGCACAGAGATACCCACTATTAAATCTAGCCAATGCTAACTTTTTTTTTTTTTGAGACAGGATCTCACTATATAGCCCATGCTATCCTGGAACTCACTCTGTAGATCTCTCAAACTCACAGAGATCTGCCTGCCTCTGCCTCCCAAGTACTGGACTGAAGGCATCTGCCACCATACCTGGCTTTTATTATATATGAAGTCTTTTTAATGTAGACCAGCATAGCCTCCTGAATGTGGGGGTTACACCACACCCAGCTGCTTAAACCTTTTTATCTCTACCTTTTGGGACAGATCTCAACTCCATTGTCAAGCCTCAGCTAAGCCTGGTATAGTGCACAGAGAGGCTGAGCTGGAGACTCAAGCTGGTCACTTGAGTCCCCTGAGTGGAAACTAAGCCTGAGAAAAACAGTGAGACCTCATCTAAAAACACAACACAAAACAGAAGTGCCAGGCACGGTGGTGCACACCACTGGTCTACAGAGTGAGACGCTGTCTCACAAACAAGCATCAGGCGACAACAAAAAGCCCTCAAATTCACGTTATCTCAGAATGCTCGTAAGTGCACTGGTTACGATAACTATGGCGTTGTAAACACACATGGTACTCCACTCTTTTACACAGCAAAGTGGATACTTTCTTATGAGATGAGGGGTAAGAGTTTGAAATTCCTTCTTACTCGGTTTCTGTTGTTGATATGTCTGCATATCTCCTCGAGATCTTTGTTGCTGAACAAATTTTCTTTAATTTCCATTTTCTTGTCTTTTGAAATGGCTGCCATTAGTAGTCGATGTACTACAATGTCTGAATATCTTCTTATTGGAGAAGTAAAGTGGGTGTATTTATCTAACGCAAGACCTTCAAAAGGAAATCAAGACATCAGAATAAAAGACACACCCGGGCACCCTGGAGAGGCTGCGCTCAGGGCTAAGCCCTGTGTAAGACAAAGCTGTCAGTCACCGTAATGATGGAACTCCTGCTCTGCACAGGACCCGGTAGAGAAGTAGAGAGCATTGGACATGGCCTGGGTAGCCATGGAGCGTAGCAGCTTGTTTACCAGAGGGTCGTTGGGGTCGTTTGCACTATCCAGAGAGTCAGCCAGGGTTTTATTGGACCTAACAAGAAACAGAGAAGCCTTGATGAGTCCCCAAAGGCAATGTACAAGTAGCACTTTCCACTCCACGGTTTAAATATCTTCATATGCCA